CCACCCTATGAATAAGCAGCTCTAACCAAGGAGTGGTCGCCCAACGAAGCAGTTCATCCGGTCGACGGCATGCCGTAATCGGGCATACTGCCGATCGAGAGGAACCGGGCGTGGATACTGCCGACGAGCGTCCCCTGATCACGTGGTCGAAGTCGGGGACGAGCGGACGATGGCGGCGTCGCCGCCGCCGACGATCGCCCACGACGCAGCATCGAATCGCAGACGGCGCGAGCGGCGGCGCGCCGGCGGATCAGTCGCTATGGAACGTGATCCACGGAGTCTTCCTCACCGGAGCACGCGCTCTACTTCGGGAGGCTTGTGCGACGGTGGCTGGCTTCGATGCGCGCGCTCCTATGCAACGATGGCGGCTCAATATGGCAACGATGGCGGCGACGATGGCGGCGCCTATAGGCGCGACAGCGACGTGGCGACTCCTATGGCCAACGATGGCGCGAACGATCGGCTGCTCCTATAGCAGGACAGCCGATGTCGGCCGGCTCCCGATTGCTGCGGTCGGTGGCGGCGCGGCGCAGGAGGGCAGAGGGTCAAGGAGGGACGGCCCTGTGAGCGGGCGCTCACTGACAACAGTGCGACACGGGGCCTGGCAACTGATAGGAAGCCAGCCTCATCCTCCTCCTCGCGCCCTCGCCTCCTCTGATGATACAACGATGTATGACAGACGACACGGGACGTCATCTTCCTCCTCAACGCACAACGTCGACCTGCTGCGCAGCCATCCATTGCAGAGAGGCGCACAGCGAAGGCGGAGGCCCGAAACCTTGACTCACACTACCCGGCGCGGCGAGACGTAGCCGCGTCGGGAGTCTCGTGTCAACGACGACGACGATCTTCGCTCCGAGGCGACAGCTTCCATAGACATCGCATCGTGACGGCGGCATCGGTGGTGAGGGGATGGCGCGGACTGTGGCGTGGTGGGCGCGCGGTCGGCCTGTGTCGGCCGTGAGCGCACGACGAACGATGTGGCGGAAGACGGCTCTCAAAGAGTCGCCCGACGCGACGTCGATTCAAGTGTCCAGGCTAAGTCGCCAAATACGTTCCGCCTAAATCGATCTGCACTTGAGTGCGCGCATGAATCTGGCACGGTGCTGCCAACCTACTAGCAGCGACGCCTGCCTTCTAGCGCAACACGGAGCGGGCCAGCAGCGCGTCACAAACCTGGCGACAAGCGACCACCTTCGGCCAGCCCAGAACAGAGCAATCTCGCGCGGCGCGCGAAGCTGGATGGCGCCACCATTGCGAGTCGAACGACCGAGGGAATCAGGATAGTGATGATGCGCCGACACCTATCGGTCACGTGCCCGCACCTAACGCAGCCGATAGCGCGACACCCAGATTAGGCAAATTACGGCCGCCACCATCAGATATTGCATCATAGGACGTGAGACGCGCGACGCCGGTGAATATCAGCCATTCTTCCCGCCACCGGATGAGCCACGTGTGCTAGGTCGTGGAAACTGAGCACAGCGTGCTGACGTCAGCAGAAAACACTGGCGAACGGGAAGGTGTGGCAAGCCGAACAACAAGACAGCCTACACGCTATCCTTAACAGCGGGTCTTTCTCTTTGGGTTTGCAAAAAGAGAGCAGGGACGTCAGCGGAATAATGCTTTGCGCGAACGTGAGTTTGAGACAGTTTCCTGAGAGTTTGCTGTTAAACCGGTAATGTGCGAAGTGCTTACGTGAGCGAGAAAGTAGTGTTTACTGTAAGTGCCGTCCCTGTATCGCTTCCTGGCTTCTGTTTCCCTTGACCGATGACAAGGGAGATCAAAGGCGAAGCTTACTGACAGAGGGCGTCCCGATGCAGGATCTCTTCATGGAGGCAGAGCAGATGGAAGCGTCTCTTGAGAGCTAACGACAGTCACGTTGACCCCCGCTTACCGTGTCCTGACCTACAAAGGTCGTGCTAATCTGGGTTGCCGATGCACCAAACGTCCACGGTTTCGTGTTCGACGTGGACGCATTGCTACGATCCTCCGTCGCTCGTGCGCCTGGTAGGAGCAGCAGCAGCCCCAGTGTGGTGTTCTCTAACATTAGTTACTTTTTCCTTTTCATAGTTTGGTGTTCTAGTTAGAGATGCCCAACCAGCAAAGCGTTTCATCTGTATAGATCAGGGTGGATAAAAACTACTCGCATTAGAATGTTTTTCATTCACTGATACGGATATGTGAAAAAAGTGCAGATTTATTTCAAGAAGCTTTTCAATTCGAAACAAAAAACCCTACAATTCCTCTCAGCCGAATGATTTTCTCTATTCTACGATTATAAAAAATTAACGAGTGAATTAATAGTGAGGAACATTGCCGTTTCAGCCGTGACAGTCGAATGAAGAGAACAGCAGCGCGTGAGCTGAGCGAACATGTAGAGCTCCCCGTACACAGCAGAGCATCTGCAGCACTCTCGCTTCCACCTCCGCAGCGCGGCAGGTCAGAAGCAAGCCGTGTCTTTCCCTCGGCGTGTCTCCCGCGTTCGACCACATCAGCTGGAAGCTCGTCCACATTCTTACATCATGGGGATCGGTTACGCGATTAACGTCGGACGCGCCGCGTCTCGGTTATCGTTAGCTCAACCGATGTTTCTTGCAGTGGTGTCTGTCCTTCTGTCGTGCTGCAAGTTTCGTCAGCGTGTCATCGTTTGCGGAATGTTGGATAGCAAGTTTGTAAAAGAAGTCCTAGCGTCGAGGAGGTCCGTCAGCTAGATGTGGTTGCAGCTCGTATTGCAAAATTCGGCGTGTGTAAGCGATTGGCATGTGAAGATGACAGTGGATTGGAATTTATAACATGAATGTTCGTTATGACACCTCATCACCTCTGCATCGTCTTTGTGTGTAGCCAAGCCTGGGGGGGGCACTCACCCACATCATGCGTAGGTATGTCACTGCGGAGTCACAAAATGGGGGGCTCCTGGAACTAACTTCAGACGCTAAAATGGTCCCTGCTGTAAACTAATGTTTGTTGAATGTGGGATGCTCTGGAACTGGCTATGTTCGAAAATGTGGGTATCCGGAACTAGGATTTCACGCACGGAGTTCATCATCGGATGTAAATAAACAAGAACAGCAGCAGCAGCTGACCATCCATCCATCCATATGCATAAGCGTTCGGTGTATGCATGCCTTCTTCACGGCCTGGCTTCAACGTATTCAAAGTACGATGCACTGGAACGGAAATGTTAAAAACTAGGGCCTCCGGAACGGCAAAAATGTAAGACCTGCATGGTAACTAAACTTGTGATGCTCTGGAACGAGATATTCTTAAAAATGCGATGCACTGAAACGGAAGTTTAGGGTTGAAAATGGGGGTCTCTCCCGCGGCACATACCTACCATGCAATATATATGGAGTGCCCCCCCCCCGGGAGCCAATTAAGGCTGTATCAACATCAGCACCATGCGGTGATTGCCAGATTTGCAAAGGTGTTGTCTAGTGGTTCATGTATAGTTTTACCATTTGTGCCGTAAACCAGTTTTGGTTTTGACGTGTTGAATATAATGTTCTTGAAAAGCTGCGCGGGGTATACGTGTGGGATCACTTTATTTATTGCACCTGTGACATTGTTACATATACCCACTAATTTTCATGGGATCATTTGAGTGAAAAATAAATATTTAAATAGTAATTTATAGTTATTATTATATTATTATTATTAACAATAAACCATTATTGCATATATAATTCAAATACAAATACATGTACTTAAAAGTCAATTTATGTAAAGAAAAATGATGGATTCAATGGTATTGGACGGTTAAATTGACTATATGTCACGAATAAGTTGTCAAAAGTGTAGCAAATTGGGTCTTGCTTATAAGCAGACGTTTACAAGATTTATTTGATACAATGCTATTAGTTATTTATCTCTGTCACATGTAAGTTACAGTATTTATCTCTGTCAAAGACAAGTTACAGTATTTATCTCAGCCACATGTAAGTAACAGCACGTGTTTCTGTCTCGCTCTGTGCCACGCGATTTCGCCGTCATCTCCCGCGTTCTCACGCCGCGCGTGTTTTTTCAGCGCCGCGAGTTGGTCACTTACGAGTTTGAGGTGATGGTGGAGGGAGTGACCAGCCTGAGCCTGCCCGAGGGCATGATATGGGGCGAAGCGGACTGCTATGTGAAGTACTGGTTCCCAGCGCAGCGAGACGAAGACGGAGACGTCTACGAAGACGATGATGGTTCTGGCCGAGGTAGTTGCCGCGCCGCGGCTCGCGATCGCGGAGGTCGTCGCCGCGGCAACCGTTCGATCGCGGTTCGATTTCACTAGAGTTCTAGTTAGTTATTTCGGTTACCGAACTGTTTATAGTTTGCTGCTGTAGCCTCTTTAGGGAGGTTGGGAGGGTAAGGGGCAGCACCGCCCCACCCTAGATTTGAGGGGAAAATGAGATGAAACCAAATATATGTAAGCGCCAAGCAACACTTGCCTTACTCTAATTAAAGAATTTGAACGAAAAGAAGCAGTCGGAAATAATTCCGATATTCTGGCCGGCCCAGGTTTCGAAAATTTCGATTTCTACTACATAACCTATAGCAAAATCTATAAAAATTAGCCAGTCCTGCTCGCAAGATGCCAATCCCAGACTCGGAGACGTGTTGGAGGGTGAGGGGGAGATAGGCTGCTATTTCCTCCATTGAAAAGAGAAGTTCCCAATGCTCGCCGCTTACGACTGACTCCTCTCCTCTCCTCGTCGCCAGGTGCCTTGGTGATGACGCAACACAAGACGACGTCGACACTGTTCCTGCCAGATCCGACGTTCAACGACTCCGCCGCGCACGTGTTCACGCTCGACGCCCGTGTCCCCGTGCAGAGGGCGCTGCTATGCGCGTGCGCGAGCGCGCCGGAGTCGCGCGGCGGCTTCCCGTTTGAAGTGTGGAGCCGCTTCTACCATCCGCGCGTGCGAGACCAGCTCGTTGGCAAGGTGGGCGGGACGACGACGCCCGCCGTCGCCACGGGTTACGCACCGCGTTGTCGGCAACATTGTGCGTAGTTGCGGCGTTGCGAGTTACGTCCGACGTCTTGTTGTCGGCAACATTGTGCGTAGTTGCAGCGTTGCGAGTTACGTCCGACGTCTTGTTGTCGGCAACATTGTGCGTAGTTGCGGCGTTGCGAGTTACGTCCGACGTCTTGTTGTCGGCAACATTGTGCGTAGTTGCGGCGTTGCTAGTCTTGAATTGAAGGGACTTTCGAAGCGTGAAGCGTCGTGCAAAAGTTGCGAGCTTTTAGACTCGGGATCAGTCGTGACTGTTCGTGATGTTTCCTGCTTTGACATTAGCTGCAATTAACTTGCCGTTCGTGTGGTGTTTAACGATTGTTCTAGCATTTCTTCTTCTTTTTTTTTGTCGACGTATCTGATGATTTCGTTCCTGCAGGCATTGCTTCCACTTGCAAAAGTGTGCATGCTGACTAGCACGAAAAGAGCTACAGATGGAGCCACCAGCGAAAGTTTCCGTCTTCCCGTATCTTACATTTGCACTACACAACAGGAACAGGTGCACGTGCTCTTCATCACTCACGAATTAATAATATTTGTGTAACAGTGTATAAGATACGGTCAAGCCTATCTCAAATGCATACGAGGCCTAGTCAAGGGAACTTTCAAAAGTGTCGTCCATAGGCAGGTGTCTATTCTAGAGAGGCGATTTCGCTGCCCGACTGCCATTCAGAGGGAATGTCAAAAGCACCCTTTAATAGACAGCTGTCGATTCCATAGCAGTGTCCAGTCTATAACAGGTTTGACTATACTGTGGAATGATGCAGTGCTGACACAATGAACATCCAATGTACAATAAAGCATGGTGTATAACGTACACGTTTATGTAAATGTTGATATATAATGTTAAAACTCTCACCGTATATGTATAGTCACCTGATGCTAGAACTCCATGCATGGCTTTCCCTCTCCGCAGGTCAACACGGTGTGTTCGCTCGAGCTCACGCTCACCTACAGCTCTTCCCGGCTCCGTGGCGGCCACTGCCTGCCTGACTGCCGCTTCCGGCCTTCCTCCTCGCACCGGCAAACCCCGGACGCTGGCACGCGGCGGGAGCGCGAGCCGGCGGCGGACGCCTCGTCGACGTCTCGCCTCGAGGAGATCGCGTCGAATTACAGCCGAACCCCGCCGAATTCTCCGGTGGACCGTCTGCGATCAGACGACGACGAAGACGACGACGATGACGACGTAGGCAAACGACCCGTCACAGATCGGAGATCGCGAGGCGTGGGACGTGGAGCGGGCGTCGCGTGGGCCAGCGATCGCATGGAGGGACGCGTCCGGGAAGACAGGACAAGAGAGGAAGAGGACGTCTACGGGAGGCCGCAGCATGGGCGGGGAGGCGACGGCCGGCGACCCAGGGAGAAAGCTCGGGGCGGTGTGTCGGAGGGGGAAGCCGCCACAGCCGAGAGGACGCACCGGCGGGGAAGGGTCGGGGGTCTCTCTGATCGGCTGCCGAGAGGGAAGGGCGGCGAGGGGAAGGAGAATGCGGGCGAGGAGCGCACGAGGAGGCGCCGAGATCGCACCTACTCGATCGAAAAGGAAGACGAAAGCGAGGACCAGGGTCTTCGGCGGATGGAGGAGGAACGTAGAGAGGAAGCTAGGGATCAGGGTCACATTGTCGCAGGAGGAGGAGGAGAGGATGGCAGGAGACGCACGCAGTATGAGAGGGAGGAGGTGGTGGGAGACGACGCGGGCACGGACGGCGAGCCGGAGAAGCTATGCAGTGCGACGATCGTGATAGAGCGGGCGTGCCATCTACCGGTCTCCGATTCGTAAGTGCAGTTGCCGTTTACGCCCGACCCGCACACGTCAGACCTTTGTCGTCGTGATACGACGTATACGTTTGTCTTCGAGTGGGTGCGCGTGTAGAAACGTGTACGCCCTCGATTTTAGTTTCTAGTGCAAAAGTCTAGTAGTGTTGCCTGCTACTGATTTATGCTTAGTTATGGTAATCTACCCTTAGTCCTAACATCCAGCAGCAGCTGCGCTAGGCAACTAGTCGAGAACCTGCAGAACGCGGCAGATCCCCCTCGAGTGGTATCCGTAGTGTTAGTGGAGCGCGCGCACGCATCTGAGCTGTCAGCTTCGTTGCAGGGCTGCCGGTAGCGGAGTGTACGTGACCTACAGTAGCGGCGGCAGCGCGATGGTGGGCACGCCGGCGGTGCCCGGTCCGCGGCCTGTGTGGAACTACAAGGCAGAGATCTCGCTGCGCGCCACAGCTCTCGTGGACGAGACGAAAGTAAGCGCAGCGCGTGTGCGGCTGTCCGATTGATTGAATGCAGATTTAATCCAATTATCGATTTGATGACTTGCGTTTAGCCCGTGGAGATTTGATTTTAGTCGAGTTGGACGTGTCCCGATCGAGTTTTAATCGGTTGCCGTGTTCGTCAGTTCGTAGTTATGGGTGCGGTGTTGTCTGCATTAAGATGTTAAAAAGCTCAAGAAACGTGAATTTTACGCAGTTTGAGTGAATGTAAGAATGCTTTTGTCAGTGTGATGTCAGTTGCCTTAAAATCTCGATAAAACTAGACTAGAGCTTTAGAAACACATGGGTAATTCCCCATTTTCGCACTGTGCTGTCTCATTCGTCCCTCGCCGGCTTTCCAGAATCTTGTCTTGAGGGTGTGGCGCGGCGAAGGAGCGTCGCACGCTGGTCACCGCTCGCCGACCGACGCAGCCGTCGGCTTCACGTCCGTCGACCTCACGCCCCTGACGTCCGGCCTGCACCAGATCCACGGCTGGTACAACGTCATCGACTTCCGCGGGGAGTGTCAAGGTCAGATCAAGGTGAGAACGCTGGTGATGCGAGTGCTGGCGTGTGATGAGGCGTGCCTCGGAGCTGCCGTAGCGCTGTTTCAATTCTGTCGTCGGCAGTGAAAGAATGTGCAACGTACCTAACTGATAGCGAACGATACAGGCAAATCGATGTACATGGGTCGCCCGATGGGAAACTCCAATAATGTCCTTTGCAGAAAAGGTGTCCATTCTGTAGTGGTGTCCTGTACCTGTGTTGACCATAGATTAGATGACAGGTGTCGCTCTGGGTTGCGTGAATGTCGTCGTTGACGTTCATTTGTTTCGCGCGCAGGTTGGCATCGTGCCGCACGAGGACGTCTCAGATCTGCGAGCGCGGAAACCCGAAGTCATGCGTGCGCAGGAACTGCCCGAGGCCTCTGCCGCCAGGGGGCGCTGCTATGTCACTGACGCCGTCTACGACCGCTTTCCGAGTCACGTCGCGCGCCACGCAGAGCAGCGTGTGCGGCTGGCGCCCTCTGTTGGCAGTCACGTCGAGCAGCGCGTGCGGCTGGCGCCCTCTGTTGGCAGTCACATCGAGATGCACGCGGAGCAGGTGCGCTCACACCACGAGGCGCTACGAGGGGGCGCCACCTCTGAGCTCAGCGCCGAGCAAGAGCCAGCTCACTCGAGCGCTCCCTGGGGGGAATTCCGCTCCGCCGCGCACGACGCCGACAGCGCTTCGCGCTCCCTCTTGTTTCGCGAGCTGCGGCGAAACATGTCGGAACTCGACCAGATGCGGCAGAAGATGGAGAGGGCGACGCGCATACCAGGTGGCAGCACCGAGGCTGGGACGCGCCCGGCCGAAGCTGAGAGGGCTTCACCGGACGTCGCTGCCCGCGGTCCAACGCGTGGGCATTTACCGTCGAACGATCCGTATGACACGGGTGAGGCGTTTGAAACAGGCGAGGCGTTCGAGGTGGGTGAGGCATGCAAGACGGGCGAGGCATATGAGATGGGCGAGACATTCGAGACTTTGGCCGATGTTGTCATGGAGGCAGGACTGACAGCGCATAGCGAGGAGGTGGTTATCCCGCAGAGGTTAAATGGCGGTTACAGCATCTGTGATACCGGAAGAGTCAGTCCAGAAAGAGTCAGTCCAGAAAGAGTCGGTCCAGAAAGAATTGGTCCAGAAAGAGTCGGTCCAGAAAGAGTTGGTCCAGAAAGAGTCGGTCCAGAAAGAGTCAGTCCAGAAAGACCAGAAGACACTACGATCTTTGGCGCTAGCGGCAACCGACAAACAGATGCTCTCGGCACATTCGGAGAGAAATTGTTCGGCGACTACATGCCACCCGACCAACTTTCCTCTAACCTCTCTGATCTCATCAAAAGCCAAGATGGCAGCAAGGGTCTTCACCACGATCACGCCTCCGTCTGGCACCTAGACTTTAACTCGAAAAGCGTCGAGCTGCCGACGTCAGCGAACGAGAAACATCGCGATGATCTTCCGGCGGCGACGTCGTCTGCAAGAACACGCGCCGAGTCGACGAACGACGAGGAATTCGATCGACGAGTGAACGCAAGCGCACCCATGAATAACACTCTAACCAAGGAGTGTCGCCCAACGAATAGTTCATCCGCCGACGGCATCCGTAACGGCATCTGCGATCGAGGGAACCGGCGTGGATACTCCGACGACGTCCCGCTGATCTCGTTCGAGTCGGAGGACGAGCGGAGCGATGGCGGCGTCGGCGCGCCGGCGACCGATCGCGACGACGCACGCATCGAATCCGCAGACGGCGCGAGCGGCCGGCCGCCGGCGGATCAGTCGTATGGCGACGTGATCCACCCGGAGTTCTTCCTCCCGGAGGCACGCGCTCTACTGTCGGGGCTTGTGGCGACGGTGGCGGCTTCGATGGCGGCTCCTATAGCGGCGACAGCGACGGTGGCGGCTCCTATGGCAACGATGGCGGACGAATGGCTGCCTATAGCGGCGACAGCAATGGGTGGCGGCTCCGATTGCGGTGGCGGTGGCGGCGTCGCAGGGAGGCAGAGGGTCAAGGAGGCGACGGCCGTGAGAGGGCGCTCACTGACAACAGTGCCGACAGCGGGCTGGCAACTGATAGGAAGCCAGCCTCATCCTCCTCCTCCGCCCCTCGCCTCCTCTATGATGACAAACGATATGACAGCGACGCGGGACGTCATCTCCCTCCTCAACGTCGACCTTGCTGCGCAGCACCCAGCAGGGGGCGCACGCGAAGCGGAGGCGAACTTGACCCCACTCGGCGGCGAGACGGTAGCGCGTCGTCGGATGCGGCGTGTCCCAACGAACGACGATCGTCGCCACCGGCGACAGCTTCCATGACATCAGCATCTACGGCGGCATCGGTGGTGCGGTGCGCGGACTGGTGTCGAGCGCGGCGGTCGTGTCGCCGGAGCGCGACGAACGATGTGGCGGAAGAGCTGTCTTCAAAGAGTCGACCGACGACGATCGGATCAAGTGCCGCTAAGTCGCCAATAGTTCCGCTAATCGATCTCACTGGTGCGGCGCATGAATCTGGCACGGTGGTGCCAACCTACTAGCAGCGAAGCCTGCCTTCAGCGCAACACGGAGGGGCCAGCAGGCGTCACAAACGGCGACAAGCGACCACCCTTCGGCCAGCACAGAACAGAGCAACCGTGCCGGGCCGCGAAGCGTGGTGGCGCCACCATTGCGAGTCGAACGACCGAGGATCGAGATGATAGCTGTGAGCGCCGCGACACTCGGCACGTGGCGCCACCTAACGGCAGCGAAGCGCGACACCCAGATTAGGGCAAATTCACGGCCGCCCATCCAGATATGCATCAAGGACGTGGAGACCGCGCGACGCCGTGAATATCAGCATTCTTCCGCCACCGGATGGAGCCACGTGTGTGGTCCGGGAAACTGAGCACATGCGTGCTGACGTTCAGCAGAAAACTGGCGAAACGGGAGTGGTGCAAGCCAACAACAAGACAGCACACGTATCCTTAACAGGGGTCTTTCTCTTGGGGTTTTGCAAAAAGAGAGCAGGGACTCAGGGAAAATCTTTCGCGCGAACGAGTTCTGAGAACGTTTCCTGAGAGTTTGCTGTTAAACGGTAGTGCGAGTGCTTACGTGCGAGTAAGTAGTGTTTAGTAAGTGTCTCCCTGTATCGCTTCCCTGTTCTGTTTCCCTTGACCGATGACAAGGAGATCAAAGGCGAGCTTTACTGACAGAGGCGTCCTGATGCAGGACTTCTTCACGGGAGGAGAGCAGATGGAAGCGTCTCTGAGAGCTATACGACAGTCTACGTTGACCCCCGCTTCCGTGCCTGACCTAAAGGTTCGTGCTAATCTGGCGATGCCACCAACGTCCAGCGTTTTCGTTCGACGTGTACGCATGCTACGATCCTCCGTGCTCGGCGCACTGGTAGGAGCAGCAGCAGCCCAGTGTGGTGTTCTCTACATTATTAGTTTCTTCTTTTCACTATTGTTCTAGTTAGAGATGCCAACCATCAAAGCGTTTTCATCTGTATTAGATCAGGAGTGGATAAAAACTACTCGCATTGAAATGTTTTCATTCACTGATACGAATAGTGAAAAAAGTGCAGATTTATTTCAAGAAGCCTTTTCAATTCGAAACAAAAAACCCTACAATTCCTCTCAGCCGAATGATTTTCTCTATTCTACGATTATTAAAAATTAACGAGTGAATTAATAGGTGAAGGAACATTGCGCGTTCAGCGTGACAGTCGAATGAAGAGAACAGCAGCGCGCGTGAGCTGAGCGAACATGTAGAGCTCCCCGTACACAGCAGAGCATCTGCAGCACTCTCGCATCCACCTCCGCAAGCGCGGCAGGTCAGGAGCAAGCCCGCTGTCTTTCCCTCGGCGTTCTCCCGTTCGACCACATCAGCTGAAGCTCGTCGCACATTCTTACATCATCGGGATCGTCTACGCGATTAACGTCGGACGGCCGCGTTCCGTTATCGTTAGCTCAACCGATGTCTTCTTGCAGTGGTGTCTGTCCGTCTGTCGTGCTTGCAGTTTCGTCAGCGTGTCCATCCGTTTGCGGAATGTTGGATAGCAGTTTGTAAAAGAAGTCCTCGCGTCAGGAGGGTCCGTTCAGTAGATGTGGTTGCAGCTCGTATTGCAAAATTCGCGCGTGTGTAAGCGATGGCATGTGAAGATGACAGTGGATTGGAATTATAAACAGAATGTTCTTTATGACACCTCATCACCTCTGCATCGTCTGTGGTGTTGTAGCCAAGGCCTGGGGGGGCACTCACCCCACATCAGGTAGGTATGTCACTGCGGAGTCAAAAATGGGGGGCTCTGGAACTAACTCAGACCTGAAAATGTCTCTGTAAACTAATGTTTGTTGAATGTGGGATGCTCTGGAACTGGCTATGTTCAAATGGGGTGTCCGAACTAGGATTTCATGCACGAGAGTTCATCATCGGATGTAAATAAACAAGAACAGCTGCAGCAGCTGACCATCCATCCATCCATATGCATAAGCGTTCGGTGTATGCATGCCTTCAGGGCCTGGCTTCAACGTATTCAAAGTACGATGCACTGGAACGGAAATGTTAAAAACTAGGACCTCCGGAACGGCAAAAATGTAAGATCTGCATTGTAAACTAAACTTGTGATGCTCTGGAACAAGATATTCTTAAAATGCGATGCACTGAAACGGAAGTTTTAGGTTGAAAGTGGTGGTCTCTCCCCGCGGCACATACCTACCATGCAATATATATGGAGTGCCGCCCCCCCGGGAGCCAATTAAGGCTGTATCAACATCAGCCACATGCGGGTGATTGCCAGATTTGCCAAAGGTGTTGTCTAGTGGTTCATATATAGTTTTACCATTTGTGCCGTAAACCAGTTTGTTTTGACGTGTTGAATATAATGTTTTTGAAGAGCTGCGCGCGGTGTACGTGTGGGATCACTTTATTTATTGCATCTGTGACATTGTTACATATACCCACTAATTTTCATGGGATCATTTGAGTGAAAAATATATATTTAAAAATAGTAATTTATAGTTATTATTTATTATTATTATTATTAACAATAAATCATTAATTATTGCATATATAATTCAAATACAAATACATGTACTGAAAAGTCTATTTATGTAAAAAAAAATTGATGGATTCAATGGCATTGGACGGTTAAATTGACTATATGTCACGAATAAGTCGTCAAAAGTGTAGCAAATTGGGTCTTGCTTATAAGCAGACGTTTACAAGATTTATTTGATACAATACTATTAGTTGACACGGAAAAAAAAAAATATTTAACTAGAGCACTCGGAGAGCGCAGATTTGCCAGCGCGTAAACAATTTTATTAATAATTGGATCCGCGATCATGACCAAATGTAATCAAATTCTAGTTACCCATTTCTGACCTATCCTGAAATTTATTAATTATTGATCCGGATCACCACAAAATGCAATCAATTATAATTTACCCCATTTGTGACCTGATCCTAAAAAATTAATTAATTAATTAATTAATTGGATCCGGATCACACCAAAATCTAATCAATCGAAGTAGCCCATTTTCTGACCTATTCCTGAGAATTTTATGACAATCCGTCAATAACTTGTTCAGTTAGGCTGTCTACACAAAGAAACCAACGCACAATCCCCAAAACCAACAAAACACACGCCGCCTCGTGAAAAAATAACCTCCTGCCAACCCCTTGGCGGAGGAAAAATGGGCTGGACAGGGCAAGTGACGTAAAACAACGCAGGAAGGATACGCGCGTGACGCACGGCACGCCCACCGCAATTAGTCACCGCACACAAATCTGTTTAACAACACATACGCGCAGACAAGATCAGTTAAGCTCTGTTTCCAATCAATTAGCAATCAGGAACTGGCTACAAGTCGTCAGTTGTTCAACCAGTATTTTCACACGATGCCGACTGGCGTCGTAACCAGGTGTGAAGTCAGGGGCGTGTACAGGGGGGCGGAATCCAGGGTCCGGATCCCCCCTCGCTCCCGCAGAAAACGCATCTTGAGGCGGCGTTCTAATTTCACAAATTCCCCCCCCCCTTCGCGCTGCTCGCCAAGTTGGGTAACGCGTCAGACCCCCCCCCCCTGGTACAAATCCTGTACACGCCCCTAAGTGCACTGACGCGGGATGTCTAAAGTTTTTATAGGAGGGTCACTGGGGTAGGCCTATTGTTTAGGCGTGTGCCTCACACACACACACCACGCACGCACCGCCGCACGCGCGGCTGCACGCACGCACACACACACACACGCACACACAAACACGCACGTGCGCACGCGCGCAAACACGCACACGCACACGCACACACACACGCACACACACACACACACACACACACACACACACACATATATATATTGGATCCACAATCTAAACACCATCCAACCATACGGACTCAACCTACGGGTCGAAATACCGGGATGGATAGAAGACCATCACAATAACCCAATTCACATAAACCATAGCTAAGACATGTGTTTATATATGTATCTAGAATTTTAGAAATGTAACTCAAATCGTTCGCGAGATATTAGAGTTATACTAATAGTACACTTTCCTACTGCCCATGCATAGCCGCGCGTATATTAGCATATATGACAATACCGCGCGTATATTAGCCTATGACGATACCGCGCGTACGTATATTTCTGGTAATTAATTAAACTATTCGTGCTTCAATAAACTGAAAATTTACAGAAACCATAGCTAAGACATGTGTTTATATGTATCTAGAATTTTAGAAATGTAACTCAAATGTTCACAAATATAATGTGGTTAGAAGTAGAGTTAGAAGCAACCGGTTTTACGTCACGTGATAGCGGCTTATAGATGGGCTCCCAGTTTCTTCTTCAATGTAAAGTAAACTGAGTGACGAGATAAATAACACATCTATGGAAAAGAATCCAAGATGTCAGCCTCCATTACTTCTTGCTTTGTTTTTATGCTAACATAACTTCAAAAAGATTAGACTGGGAGGTGTATTCTGGTTCCCGCGCGCAACAGAAAAGTTATCATGAAGGTTGTTAACGTTGTCGTTTTGGCTGCCTTTCTTCTTTTGGATTGTTATTACTTTTTGCGTATACTCTTCGTTGTTCTTCATGCAAAGCTGGTAGCGCAGAGAAAGTCTCCACTAGATGTATTTGTTACTCGAGGTATGTGTAATTTACTAATTCAGTAATTGCAAACGTGAGAAATGTGGTGCAGATATCAGAAGTAACAAAATTCCCTATTATTTCAATTAGCATTTGAATAATCAACATAAAAACCGGCTGTTTGACTAATGATATGATAATATAATTTACTTCTTTTATCAGGTGTATGTTTGACAACAGACTTGGACTGTAGCTGCCACATGAACAACGCACGCTATCTCCGGGAGTTAGATTTTGCGAGGACGCACATGTTGTTCAGTAGTGGCCTATGGAAAACACTCAAGCACCTCAAGGCTGGAGTCGTTGTTGGTTCAAACACTATCCGATACAGGAGAGAAATAAATTTATTTCAGTTATATAACATACATACACAAGTACGTATAGTATTAGTAATATAGGGAAAAATATTTTTGGGACTGGAAATTTCATCATTCACGTTCCACAGATAGACATGCATGTAGGTGTTACAGTCTCCCAAACGGATTTTAATCTATATATTTACCTGTGCTGTTGTTGCATTTATTGGTGTATAGCATATATATTCGATGTTTTTCCGCTATTATGTTATTTCGTTTATAATTGCAGATAAAGTATTGGGATGAGAAATCACTCTACATAGAGCAGCGATACATAAACACTAAAGATAAATTTGTCTTTGCCATTGCTATCATCTGTTTTAGAGTTTTGAGTAAGCATATTCATTATTGCAATATAAAAGTTCATATGATAAGAGCTAGGGCTCGACTATTCAAATATGGTGACTCATTGAAAGTGATAAATGGTGACCCAATTTCTATGCAAAATTGGTGCACAGTGTACACAATAATATAAATATAGTAATAGTATTAATTTAACAATGACATAATTTTATCTAGGGAGTACACCCAGGGAAGTTTTAAGAGAGCATGGACACATCTCTATCGACTCCCCAGAAATGCCAGAAGACATTGCACTGTTTGTGAAGTACAATGAGGCATCAAGTGCCATGCTCAGAAGTGAGACAAAGTCAGAGTAACTTGAGAATTCAGTGTTTACAATTGCTAGTCTGGTATTAAGGACCTCACTATGCACATTTAAATGATACATTGTATGTGATATATTTCTACTTGATCATACCCATATCAGTTGTATGGGAAAGTATGTTATTTGCTATAATTTGCTATTTTATAACCCGGGGGGGGGACTGGTAGAGGAATTGTTAAAGGAATACTTTACTCTAGAATTTGAGAGTATATTATGATAGTAGATTTATAAATAATAGCACATACCTATAAATATCTATAATTACGCATTCATGTTTGTCATAAAACAACATTGAATTTTGAAATCTTTATTTTTGGGCGTTGATTTTTGGTAACTATCTGATATGGTTAGGGAGTAGGAGTAGGCGTAGGCGACACCCTGGACTCGTTAGTGGAGTAGGCGAGGTACGGTCAGGCATATTAGATAGTACCAGGGTATGTTCCGGCAGTACCCTGGGGGACATAGACCCTCTCAGCGGTACTGGGGACGTGCTGCTGGACAGGGTAAATTTTCCGAACATCATTATTGGCACAAGTTATATTTTCCAAGCATCATTATTGGCACAGGGTTATCTAGATACACACCCATCAAGCTGATATTGGACCAATATTAGCAAAACAATATTGGGCCAATATCACCAGGCCGATATTGGACAATTCCGAATATCTGCCTATATTGACAGGACAGGACATAACCGAAATGTGCAATATTGCAATGTTCAGGGTATACTTTTTAGCTCATCTGACATAGTCAGATGCAGCTTGTAGAATCGCATGATCGTCCGTCCGTCCGTGCGTCCGTGCGTCCGTCCGTCAACAGTTGGGCACAAATCTTAACCGCTCGACGTACGGTCACGATATTCGGGACGTGGGGGGGTAATCCGAAAACGAGTTGGAGCGCTCACTGACAACAGTGCCGACAGCGGGCTGGCAACTGATAGGAAGCCAGCCTCATCCTCCTCCTCCTCATCCTCCTCCTCCGCCCTCGCCTCCTCTGATGATGACGACGATGATGACAGCGACGGGGACGTCATCTCCCTCCTCAACGTCGACCTTGCTGCGCATCACCCAACAGAGGGCGCACACGAGGCGGAGGCGAACTTGACCCCACTCGGCGGCGAGACGGTAGCGCGGCGGGAGTGCGGCGTGTCCAACGACGACGACGATCGTCGCCACGGCGACAGCTTCCATGACATCAGCATCTACGGCGGCATCGGTGGTGCGGGTGGCGCGGACTGGTGGTCGAGCGCGGCGGTCGGTGTCGCCGGAGCGCCGACGAACGATGTGGCGGAAGAGCTGTCTTCAAAGAGTCGACCGACCGACGTCGGATCAAGTGCCGCTAAGTCGCCAATAGTTCCGCTAATCGATCTCACTGGTGCGGCGCATGAATCTGGCACGGTGGTGCCACCTACTAGCAACCGAAGCCTGCCTTCAGCGCCACACGGAGGGGCCAGCAGCGCGTCACAAACGGCGACAAGCGACCACCCTTCGGCCAGCACAGAACAGAGCAACCGTGCGGCGCGCGAAGCTGGTGGCGCCACCATTGCGAGTCGAACGACCGAGGATCGAGATGATAGCTGTGAGCGCCGGACACTCGGCACGTGGCGCCACCTAACGGCAGCGAAGCGCGACACCCAGATTAGGGCAAATTCACGGCCGCCCATCCAGATATGCATCAAGGACGTGGAGACCGGCGACGCCGTGAATATCAGCATTCTTCCGCCACCGGATGGAGCCACGTGTGTGGTCCGGGAAACTGAGCACATGCGTGCTGACGTTCAGCAGAAAACTGGCGAAACGGGAGGTGGTGGCAAGCCAACAACAAGACAGCACACGTATCCTTAACAGGGGTCTTTCTCTTGGGGTTTTGCAAAAAGAGAGCAGGGACGTCAGGGAATAATCTTTGCGCGGAACCGAGTTCTGAGAACGTTTCCTGAGAGTTTGCTGTTAAACGGTAGTGCGAGTGCTGACGTGCGAGTAAGTAGTGTTTAGTAAGTGTCTCCCTGTATCGCTTCCCTGTTCTGTTTCCCTTGACCGATGACAAGGAGATCAAAGGCGAGCTTTGCCGACAGAGGCGTCCTGATGCAGGACTTCTTCACGGGAGGAGAGCAGATGGAAGCGTCTCTGAGAGCTATACGACAGTCTACGTTGACCCCCGCTTCCGTGCCTGACCTAAAGGTTCGTGCTAATCTGCGATGCACCAACGTCCAGCGTTTTCGTTCGACGTGTACGCATGCTACGATCCTCCGTGCTCGGCGCACTGGTAGGAGCAGCAGCAGCCCCAGTGTGGTGTTCTCTACATTAGTTAGTTTCTTTTTCACCAGTTGTACTAGTTAGAGATGCCAACCATCAAAGCGTTTTCATCCGTATAAGATCAGGAGTGGATAAAAACTACTCGCATTGAAATTTGTTTTAATTCACTCCTGATACGATATGTGAAAAAAGTGCAGATTTATTTCAAGAAGCATTTTCAATTCGAAACAAAAAACCCTACAATTCCTCTCAGCCGAATGATTTTCTCTATTCTACGATTATAAAAAAATTAACGAGTGAATTAATAGGTGAAGGAACATTGCCGTTTCAGCGTGACAGTCGAACGAAGAGGACGGCAGCGCGTGAGCTGAGCGAAGATGTAGAGCTGCCCTTACCCAGCAGAGCGTCTGCAGCGCTCTCGCATCCACCTCCGCAAGCGCGGCAGGTCAGGAGCAAGCCGCGCGTCTTTCCCTCGGCGTTCTCCCCGTTCGACCACATCAGCTGAAGCTCATCGCACATTCTTACATCGTCGGGATCGTCTACGCGATTAACGTCGGACGGCGCGTTCCGTTATCGTTAGCTCAACCGATGTCATCTTGCAGTGGTGTCTGTCCGTCTGTCGTGCTGCAGTTTCGCCAGCATGTCCATCCGTTTGCGGAATGTTGGATAGCAGTTTGTAAAAGAAGTCCTCGGTCAGGAGGGTCCGTCGGTAGATGTGGTTGCAGCTCGTATTGCAAAATTCGGCGTGTGTAATCGATGGCAGGTGAAGATGACAGTGGATTGGAATTATAAACATGAATGTGTTCTTTATGACACCTCATCACCTCTGCATCGTCTGTTGTGTGTAGCCAAGGCCTGGGGGGGGGGCACTCACCCCACATCATGGTAGGTATGTGCCACTGCGAAGTCAAAAATGGCGGGCTCTGGAACTAACTCAGACCTGAAAATGGTCTCTGTAACTAATGTTTGTTGAATGTGGGATGCTCTGGAACTGGCTATGTTCGAAAATTGGGGTGTCCGGAACTAGGATTTCACGCACGGAGTTCATCATCGATGTAAAATAAACAAGAACAGCACAGGCAGCTGACCATCCATCCTCTATATGCACATGGGTTGTATGCATGCTTTCAGGGCCTGGCTTCAACGTATTCAAAGTGGGATGCACTGGAACGGAAATGTTAAAAACTAGGGCCTCCGGAACGGCAAAAATGTAAGATCTGCATAGTAACTAAACTTGTGATGCTCTGGAACGAGATATTCTTAAAAATGCTCGATGCCACTGAAACGGAAGTTTAGGCTTGAAAATGGGGTCTCTCCGGCGGCACATACCTACCATGCAATATAAATGGAGTGCCACCCCCCCCCCCCCCCGGGAGCCATTAAGGCTGTATCAACATCAGCACCACGCGGTGATTGCCAGATTTGCAAAGGGTGTTGTCTAGTGGTTCAATAAGTTTTACCATTTGTTGCCGTAACCAGTTTTGGTTTTGACGTGTTGAATATAATGTTTTTGAAGAGCTGCGCCGGGTGTACGTGTGGGATAACTTTATTTATTGCATCTGTGACATTGTTACATATACCCACTAATTTTCATGGGATCATTTGAGTGAAAAATATATATTTAAATAGGTAATTTATAGTTATTATTATTAATTATTATTATTAACAATAAACCATTATCGCATATATAATTCAAATACAAATACATGTACTGAAAAGTCTATTTATGTAAAAAAATTGATGAGCTCAATGGTATTGGATGGTTAAATTGACTATATGTCACGAATAAGTCGTCAAAAGTGATAACAAATTGGGTCTTGCTTATAAGCAGATGTTTACAAGATTTATTTGATACAATACTATTAGTTGACACGGAAAAAAAAAAATATTTAACTAGAGCACTCGGAGAGCGCAGACTTGCAGCGCGTAAACAATTTTATTAATTAATTGGATCCGGATCACCACCAAAATGTAATCAATTTCTAAGTTACCCCATTTTTAACCTATCCTGAGATTTATTAATTATTGATCCGGATCACCACCAAAATGTAATCAATTATAAATTTACCCGCCATTTTTGACACTATCCTAAAAAATTAATTAATTAATTAATTAATTGATCCGGATCACCACCAAAAATCTAATCAATTCGAAGTTAGCCATTTCTGACCTACTGAGAATTGTATGACAACTCCGTCAATAACTTTTTCAGTTAGGCTGTACACAAAGAAACCAACGCACAATCCCACAAACCAACAAACACACGCCGGTGAAAAAATAACCTCCTGCCAACCCCTTGGCGGAGGAAAAATGGGCTGGACAGGGCAGTGACGTAAACAACGCAGGAAAGATACGCGCGTGACGGCACGCACGCACCGCGATTAGTCACCGCACACAAATCTGTTTAACAAACAATACGCGCAGACAAGAATCAGTTAGGCGCATCGTTTCCAAATCCAGGATAGCATATCCAGGAACTGGCCTATAAGTCGTCAGTGTTCAACCAGTATTTCACAACGATGCGCCGAGCCTGGCGTGGTAACCAGGTGTGAAGTCCCAGGGGCGTGTACACCGGGGGGGGGAAATCCAGGGGTCCGGATCCCCCTGCTCTCGCGCAGAAAACGCATCTGAGGGGGTCTAATTTCAAAAATTCCCCCCCCCTTCGCGTGCTCGCAAGTTTGGGTAACGGTCAGACCCCCCCCCCCTGGTACAAATGCTGTACACGCCCCTAAGCGCACCTGACGGGGATGTCTAAAGTTTTTATAGGAGGGTCATGGGTAGGCCTATTGTTAGGGCGTGTGGCTAGCTCACACACACAACGGAGCGACGCCAGCACGCAACGGCTGCACGCACGGGGCACGCACGAGCCTGCACGCACGCACACACACACACAGCCGACCACACACAACACGCACGCGCGCACACGCAAACACGCCACGACGCACACACACACCACACACACACACGACATGCACACACACGCACACACCACACACCACACATATATATATCTATATATATATTATATATATATATATATATATATTATATATATATATTATATATATATGTACTAGCGGGATACCCGGCGTTGCCGCGGGGAAATCAGTGCGCGTTACTCCAGCCTGGTGACCGCTTGGTTGAAAGGAAAATACCCCAAAAAATTAATCTAATCTATCTATCCATGCATCCATTGCATGCAGCATCCATCCATCCCCATTCGCATGCCATGACATCCATCGCCATCGCACTCGCCACCGCATCCCATCATGCATCGCCATCTCATCGCATTCCATATGCCATCCCGTGCCATATGCCATTCACAGAAACCCATTAGCTAAGAGTCCAAGACATGTTTATATATGTGCTTCAATATACTCAAAATCAAGAAACCATAGCTAAGACATGTTGTTTATATGTATCTAGAATTTTAGAAAATGTAACTCAAATCGTTCGCGAGATATTAGAGTTATAGTACACTTTCCTACTGCCCATGCATAGCGGCCGCGTATATTAGCATATGACGGCGATACGCCGGCGTATATTAGCCTATGACGATATCCGGCGTACGTATATTTCTGGTAATTATATTAAACTATTCGTGCTTCAATAAACTGAAAATTTACAGAAACATAGCTAAGACATGTGTTTATATGTATCTAGAATTTTAAAAATGTAACTCAAGTGTTCAGCTAATATAATGTGGTTAGAAGTAGAGTTAGAAAGCAACCGGTTTTACGTCACGTGATAGGCGCTTATAGATGGGCTCCCACGTTTCTTCTTCAATGTAAAGTAAACTGAGTGACGAGATAAATAACACATCTATGGAAAAGAATCCAAGATGTCAGCCTCCATTACTTTTTGCTTTTTATGCTAACATATCTTCAAAAGATTAGACTGGAAGGTGTATTCTGGGTTCCCGCGCGCAACAGAAAAGTTATCATGAAGGTTGTTAACGTTGTCGCTTTTGGCTGCTTTCTTCTTTTGGATTGTTATTACTTTTTGCGTATACTCTTTCGTTGTTCTTCATGCAAAGCTGGTAGCGCAGAGAAAGTCTCCACTAGATGTATTTGTTACTCGAGGTATGTGTAATTTACTAATTCAGTAATTGCAAAACGTGAGAAATGTGGTGATATCAGAAGTAACAAAATTCCCTATTATTTCAATTAGCATTTGAATAATCAACATAAAAACGCGCTGTTTGACTAATGATAATTGATATGATAATATAATTTACTTCTTTTACCAGGTGTATGTTGACAACAGACTTGGACTGTAGCTTGCCACATGACAACGCACGCTATCTCCGGGAGTTAGATTTTGCGAGGACGACAATGTTGGTCAGTAGTGGCCTATGGAAAACACTCAAGCACCTCAAGGCTGAAGTCGTTGTTGGTTCAAACACTATCGCGATACAGGAGAGAAATAAAATTATTTCAGTTATATAACATACATACACAAGTAGCTATAGTATTAGTAATATAGGAAAAAATATTTTTGGGACTGGAAATTCATCCTTCACGTTCCACCAGATAGACATGCATGTAGGTGTTACAGTCTCCCAAACGATTTAATCTATATATTTACCTGTGCTGTTAATGTTGCATTTATTGGTGTATATAGCATATATATTCGATGTTTTCCGCTATATGTTATTTCGTTTATAATTGCTAGATAAAGTATTGGGAATGAGAAATCACTCTAGCATAGAGCAGCGATACATAAAACACTAAAGATAAATTTGTCTTTGGGCCATTGCTATCATCTGTTTTAGAGTTTTTGAGTAAGCATATTCATTATTGCAATATAAAAGTTCATATGATAAGAGCTAGGGCTCGACTATTCAAATACGGTGAGCTCATTTTAAGTGATAAATGGTGACCAATTTCTATGCAAAATGGTGCACAGTGTACACAATAATATAATATTAGTAATGTATTAATTTAACAATGACATAATTTTATCTAGGGGTAAACACCCAGGGAAGTTTTAAGAGAGCATGGACACATCTCTATCGACTCCCCAGAAATGCCAGAAAGACATTGCACTGTTTGTGAAGTACAATGAGGCATCAAGTGCCATGCTCAGAAAGTGAGACAAAGTCAGAGTAACTTGAGAATTCAGTGTTTACAATTGCTAGTCTGGTATTAAGGACCTCACTATGCACATTGAAATGATAGCATTGTATGTGATATATTTCTACTTGATCATATACCCATATCAGTTGTATGGGAAAGTATGTTATTTGCTATAATTTGCTATTTTATAACCCGGGGGGGGGACTGGTAAAGGAATTGTTAAAAGAATACTTTACTCTAGAATTTGAGAGTATTTATGATAGTAGATTTATAAATAATAGCACATACCTATACAGGCCCGTAGCCAGCTTTCTATGGGGGGGTTCCCGTTGTTGCAATGTTGGCATAGTTGCGTGCGCAGGGGCGGTGTACAGGAGTTTGTACCCCAAGGGGGGGGTGCTAAGCGGCCGTAACCCAAAGTTGCGAGCCCAACGGCGAAAGGGGGGGTCTGGGGGGCCTCCCCAGACATTTTTTAAATTAGAGCGGCCCGCTCAGATGCGTTTTCCTGCGCGAGCAAGGGGGGGTCCCGACTCCCTGGAACCGCCCCCAAAAAACGCCGCTCTGCTCGGCGCCGCTGAGCGACGCAGGCGAGGGAGGCCCAAGCGACGCGAGCGGGGGGAGGGTGTGGGGAGGGGGTGTTCACGTGTTCCGCCTCTCTGCTTGCTCTCCCGCACGATTGGTAGATTTTGGCAAATATTACACTAAAATGGAAACAGCGACGCTGAGGTGAATATTCTTGCAAATTTTCAAAATTATTTATTTTTTTGCTTGGTGGGGTGGGGGGGAGGCTGGCTCGGGGGAGGGGTTCGTTCGAACGCCGCCCGCACCGCCCCTGGCATACGGG